CCCCCCCCGCTTCCTTCGGGCAGACGTGGGGTCCGAGCGGTACCGGCCCCGGGTTCTTGTTGGGGTGTTTGGCTTCTCCCGGGTGGTGCGGGCGGGGCCGTGGCGGGAGTTTTACCCGGGCTTGATCCTGCCCCAAAAAAGAGGCCTTATGCCGTGGGGCAGGCAGGTGGTGGGCACGGTGGGGCCTGGGGAGTGGTGCCAGCTCCCCTGGGTTATGGAATCAGGGAGTCATGGAACGGTTCGGGTTGGACGGGACCTCGAAGACCGGCTGGTTCTGACCCCCTGCGTGGGCAGGGACACCTGATGGCTCAGACTGCAGGAGTGACCCTCGCTGGAAGAGATGCTCCTGCAGTTTGGAGCAGTGTAGAGGACACTGGTTAACTTGGAGAAAGTGTTTTATTAGTTTTTACCCTCTTACAGTTTTACTGTCAGTCTTGGTGAAATGCAGGCCAGAGCCTTCCTTACTCTCACTTAGTGAAATAGTTCTTTATTGGCTTTTGAGAGTGGGACTCTGAAGAAGCCCTTTGAACAGGGCTCATCCCCAGTGCAATTAGCCTCAGCTATTCTCTGTGAGCTTTTGCTCGGACTGTTTAAACTTTCTGGCTCCATCTTAAAGTAAAACATGACCTTGTGCTGCTTGTACACTGTTAAAAGATTTATTGTGCTTGCAGAGCAGTGTAAGAGGGAATTCTGGAATTATACCCCAGGACTTTCCAGTATCTGTCTGTCTAGCATGAACCTGTTCCCAGCTGCTCCTGGGGAGGGAATCTGGGATCTTCTGTGTTAGCCCATTTTTCTTAGCACTGAAAGACCTGGATGCATCAGGTAAGACACCAGCAAGTGCTGAAGTGGACAGATGTTGAGAACAGAACTTGAGTAAGTCAACCCTGGAGTATTTGAGGCACGTGGTGCCTCAGCTGCTAGAGTTGTGTTTTGTGGTGGTTCTGGTATTGCTGCTTTTATATGAGCACAAAGATGGTTTATTCTTGCCTTCCTGATAGTTTATGAAATAATTATGTTACTGTTAGTTAAACTGGTACAGATGCAGCTGTATCAAGCAATTTTAGGCAGTTGAAAATTACTGTTAAAAGCAGTGTTCAGTCACATGGATATTGTCATGTATAGCTTTGAAATAAGGTAGGAAAAATGTTGGCTGCTTTATATGGAGTGTAGTTGAAGAGTAGCACACTTACAGCAGTGATGTAGGGAGAGTGGGTTAAACAGCTTTAACTGCCCTCCTTGTGTTCAATAAATAATGTTTAATGCCATTTAATATCTTACTCTTGTTTTTAACTATTCTTGTCTTGTCTGTGGTGATGGAAAAATGTTTCAGCTTTTCTTTCCTGAACCTACCTCTTACTTACAACTAATGTTACCTTGCTCTTTTTCTGCTTCCCGCTCGTCAGGATTTGGTGGGCTTGAAACTACAAACTCCACTGCCAGTGGGTTTAATTTTGGGGGTTTCGGATTAACTGCTAATCCTGCAGTGAATTTTAATATTGGGAATTTCGGTGTTTCTACTACCTCAACTCCACCATTCAATTTTGGTAACAGTCTGGCAAGTGCAGGTAGATAATACATAAATACTTGTTCTGTAATAAATGTAAATAGCAGGGGTCCAAGAATTACGTTCCTGACTGAGAATCTTGTGTTAAGTACTAATCTTTGTATCCAGTGAAGACTGGAGATAAAAGCTCTGGAAGTGGAATGGGTTTGAGAACTATGGGCCTGTCAGGGGTTTTGCCTGTTAAATTCTCAAGAAATAGCTGTTGGGGAAAAATAACCACATACCAAATACTCAGTCTCTGAAATGGAAATGAGTTGTGGTAACCTGTCAGTCTGACCCAGTCTAAAATTGAGCCTTGATTACCCAGCAAAAGGGCAACATCAGTTCTCCCTTCAGATCCAGGCAATCATGAGCAATTGCAGAGCTGGTCCCTAACACCCCATTTCCCAACATGAGATTCTTGGACTACTGCAGTCATGTTTTTCACCTTCCCCTGTGTCTCTTCATTGGCCTTCCCTTGGCTCTCATGAACACACTATGCATCAAACAGTTTCTGTGGAGAAACAAATTTTATACGATCAGCACAAAGTGAGCAGCCCTGGCTGTGATCTCTGTTTCCTAAATGCCATTCCACACCCTGAAGCAGCACCCATCCCAGGTGCTGCTGAAGAGATTCCCTGGGCTTCTGGGAGGGCCATCAGCATGGTGTGTGTGCTGGGTATTGGTTTAAGAAAACCATTCATGGCCCCATGTAGATCCATCAGTTCTGAGTAATCAGCTGGTATAATTTCAAGTTAAATCTTTTCCATTTCATAGAAAAATGCTTAACTGTATGGATTTATAATGCTTCATTCCTGTAGAATTAGCCCATGGGGTCTTGTTGCCACTGCTCATATAGGAATTACATTCATTCCACAGTGTTATTGCTCCCTGTGTACATGTACTCTTACCTTCTTTTGTGCACTTGAGGGACCTGATTTTGGTTTGGGTTTTGTTTGTTTTGTTGTTGTTTTTTTATGAACACTATTGAACTGTAATTCTTAAACTGAATTTTAGCTACTCCAGGAGAGAACTTGGGTGCTTAGTTTTGTTTGGCAGTTTGCACTCTGAGATCATTTTTCAAGAAAGGATAGCTAAATTGTACAAAGCTACCTAAAAGTTGTGTCATCTGATGGTACCCCCACTAGAGTTTCTCACTTGCTGGTAGGACTGATTGCATGTTAACTTGATTTAAGCTTTTTATTTTGTTTCCATACAAGAGGGTGGTAAGTGCAGTAGGTTAAAGAGACTTTTTTATTGACATGAGTTAGCAGTGGCAGCATCATTTGGACAAATCCCTGGTAGCAGATTGCCTATCTTAATTTGAATGCATGCAAAGCCAGGTTGAAACAGACTGACTTGGTTCTTAAGGGCTAGTCAGATGTCCACAAGTTGCACCTTGGGCCTGTGGTGCATTGATGCCACTGTAGCAAAGCAATGGTGTGGTGACATCCAGCACCTCTGCAGCCTCATGCACCTGTCTTGGCACAGCTGCCCTGTACTGGGGCACCTCTTCCAAAGGGGCAGATGTGAAGATGGGTTTCTTGAGGCTCTCTCTGGTAGGGTGGAGCTCAGGCACTCACTCAGGTCTCCACCTGCTAGCCAGTGACTGGTTTTCCTGAAAATCTGCAGAAGCTGACTGCTTTTGCATTTACCTTCTCTGATAGTGGTGGAACCTCAAAATGAGATTTAATGGGGAGGATGACAGGGAAATTAGGCTTAAAAAAAAAAAAAGAACCTTGTAGAATTTTACCTGTGTGTGGAAAAAAATGTTGCTTTGACAGCATTCCTGTGTAGGCACAGGTTGTGTGCCTTGGTTGATTTGTTTCTGGTTTTGCTTTGAAGAGGCTAAGAATGTTGAGTAAGCTCACAAAACATCAGATAATTTATTAAACACTTAGCAGCAACGTTGACTAGAAGTATTCCTAAGAGTGAATTTAAGAAATACTAGTCATTAGTGGTGTCTGTCATTAAGGAAAGCACATTGTGCTGGTAAAGGAACAGGATGTTCGTTAACTGCTGCTTTTTTATTTGCTTTCTTGACACATCATAGATCTTTTGGCTTTCTAGTTCATGTTTCCTCATCCATTTCCTCAGCCAGTGAACTCGATAGCCATGATCATGTAAACTACATGCTTGTGACATAAGTCATCCATCTGTCAACATCTTTCCTCCTAACACCCCTCGAAGCGTGCAGTTTATTGTCACGTTGTGTACAGCTGCAACTCACAATGTGCCTCTGTCTGACTTACAAACTTTGTTTGTTAGGTGCATTTGGAGGATTTGGGACAACGACCACCACTGTAGCACCAGCCTTTAGTTTTTCTGCTCCCACCAACACAGGCACCAGCGGTAAGAGCACAAGTCTGAAAGTGTTTGCTTTAGAATGACCAGTAGGGACTCAGCCCATTCTCAGTAATGTTTTGCATTTCATGGGTACTGTTCTCCTCTTTTTCTCACTAATTCTTTGCTTATTTCCCCAGGACTCTTTGGTGCTACCCAGAACAAAGGCTTTGGATTTGGTGCTAGTTTTGGCACGGGAACTGGAACTGGCTTGGGTAGTGGGTTGGGAACTGGGCTAGGCTTTGGAGGCTTTGGTACCCAGCAGCAACAGACCAGTAAGTATGGCCTTCTCTTGATTTACCCCTTCATTAGCAAACAAAGCATGAGGCTGTGAAAGGAGCACAAGTAGTGGGACAAAAGTAAATTATCAAAGGAGGCTGTTACACTTAATGATTGATTGATGGAGACTTCCCAGAAATAAGGCTTTTGAAGTGCCTACGTTTACAATCCTTGTCTTTTTCTTAAACTGGACCTCCAGCAAGTTTCTGAGCTTTACTCTTTGAGTTTCCAACAACAATATTCACCCTTCTGGTTTGGCAGTGGTAGAGAGTAGTTTTTAGACCAGTGTCAGCAGTCATAGCATTACTGTAAAGGGGAGAAAAACAGTGTTGATTTTAGTTTAAATATGAGCTGGTTAATGACCAGCTGCAGCCTGTGAGTCCACTGAATTTATAATAACAAATCTACCCTTCAGGTTCAGATACCAAGGATGTTAGATCATGTCATGGGTTATTATAGTTGTCTTTTTAAAAGAAAAAAAGAATCTTCTAACTTTGGCCTTCAGGAACTTCTGTTACTGATGAAGGCTGAGTGTCAAAAGACATTTAGAAAGCAACAACAGTTTGATTTATTTGTTCTGCGCATTTATTTTGCTTTTCAAAATGTGGACAGATGTGATACCAGGGATGTGCAGATGGTACATGTTAGAAATGAGTCTCTCTTGGTCAGTAAAGGAGTTAATTTGTTTTTCTTCATCCAATACAGCACTAGGAGGTGGCTTGTTCAGCCAGCCTGCTCAGACACCGGCCCAGTCGAACCAGCTCATCAATACAGCCAGTGCCCTCTCAGCTCCCACGCTCTTAGGGGATGAGAGAGATGCTATTTTGGCAAAATGGAACCAGCTTCAGGCCTTCTGGGGAACAGGCAAAGGGTACTTCAACAATAACATTGCTCCAGTGGAGTTCACGCAGGAAAACCCCTTTTGCAGGTTTAAGGTATGGAATTGTCCAACTGCCCAGAAAGAGTTTTGAAGCAGTTGCTCTGCTTGCTGAGTGTCTCATCAGCATTAAATCAGATTTTGTTACTGATAAGAGCATTCTGAAACAGTATTTTTCCAGGCAATGCACACAATTCCAATGCATGCTGATTAAAAGGTTTGGAGATGAATAGATGCTGGAAATCTGGGTGTTGTGGAGGTGATGAGTGGATCGTGAAACTAATCTTTTTCTATGATAAATTCAACTATGATATTCAGCTTAGTGTGTGTGGTTGGAGCAGATTTCTGGAAATTAATTTTAATGTGTATTTGATTAGGTTACAATATTAGAGAAACTATTTGAAATAACCTTCATGTCTGAAAGAAACTGTTAACATGTGAAATAAGAACATCAGGGTGTCTTTTATTACTTTGCCTACAGTAGTAAAACCCTCTATGATCCTGGCCCCTGCAAACCATTTTAAATACACCAGCCTTCATCTGCCTTTATCCTTGCCAGTACTAGAGCTGACTCCATTCCTTGTATAGTATTATCAGCAGTTCCAGCTCTTGCTTCTCTTGTCAACAAAGAGTATGTAGATTTTCATTCTCCACAAATCTTGCCCCTGCTGACTTTCTTGCTAAGCTTCAGACCTGGAACTGGATTTGGGTCAGGCATGGTGATACCCTCCTTTCCCAAGCTGATTCTTTGAAGTTAAAACTTTCTAACCCAAATGTAGGTTAATACCTAATTAAGTCCAGTTTTGATTTTGCACATTGTGACACTTTTATGAAATCTTCACAGTGACCAAGTACTTGCATAGTAAATGTTTGGCTTCTGATGCATAACCTTTTTAGGTATTACCTTGAATATTTTGTAGATTATGCACCTGAAATCTTACTTTCTTGTTGCCTGGAATGGCTTTAGAGTTTTCTGGGATTTGAAAAATGGGCAAGTGTAAGTTGTATGCTGCAAAATCAATAATTTTAGTTTCATGTCTCAAAAGCAGAAGTTTTCCTCTCAAGTCAGTCAATGCCATCGACTAGGTTTTTGTCCCTATGCCTTGAGTCTTACTGATGCCATTATGAACTCACTTAGCTAAGTGAAATATTGGAAAGTCCCATGTATGCTGGCAAAGGTGGGTGCCTAAAGAAAACAGTGGAGAAGTTGTTAGCACAGGTATTGCAGCAACGCATCATAAACTCATTTGATCTATTGCCTCTGTAAGCATCAGACATGTGATAAGAATGAACCCAAAGGATTTAATTGGTATTCAAGGAACCCACTTGTACACAGTTTCAGCTCTGGAACAAATGAGAAGCATCCAGAAGCAAGAAAAGTGTACTTCTGAGGTATGGGAAGTAAACAAAGTAAAAAATCTGTTACAGTTTGAAAATACTGAATTTCATAAAGAAGTTGTGAAATACGTATCTATTTTGTCTAAATACAAATACCATAGTATTCATGTATGTATGATCTGAGAACTGCTTCACACATAATGCAGTTTAGTCTTCCAAGTCTTGGCAAGTCTTTTCCCACAAGGGGGGCGTCTTTCACAACTGGGAAGGTAAAAGGGATGTGCTTAAAAAACAGTAGGTGATTGTTTGAAGGTGGGTTTGGAGTTTTTTTTTATTTGTGTTTTTCTTCTGAGGCCTCAGAAGGAACAGGTAGCTTAAATCAGGGACGGGTGTGATACCAGTAACTTAGAAGTCTTTCCTTAAAAAGGTGAGGTTTCCCTCAGGCAGAGTTCCCCTTACAGAACTGGATTCTTCCTTAGCTGTCACTCAGTTGTTCTGGGACAGGATGGCCCAGCCGAAGAAGGCTGGTTCTGCAGGGCTCACCATCATGAGGAGTCACCCTCTGCTGACACAGACCAGGCTCTGGGGCACATCCCCAGCTCATTTCTCTCTTCAGCTAAACTTGCACAAGGGGAAAGGTGCAAGTTACCCACATACAGTGTCAGGCCTTAAAAAGCACCCACTGTCCAACATGTCACCAGTTCATAGGCAAGACAAGATGAAAAACTGCCACGTTGCTTTTGCTTGTAATGAGCAGTTTAAGTCTTTCTTACAAGTCACGTGGAGTTTACCCTGGAGCTGACAGGGTGGGGTTTTTTTAGCAGGGAAAGCACTTAACACAGAGTTACATTATAGTGTTGATATAGTAGATAATGTTGAATTAAACATCTAACCTTGCTGCGTGAGCAATTGTACAAAGAAACCATGACACTTGCTAACACAAGGAAAATTGGCTGTCCCAAATTCTTGTGTGATAACTTTACTTGATGCATATCTTAGCTAGTAGAAATACTGTATGTCCATATTTTGGCTTGTGCTGCCAGTCAAACTGTCCAGACCTACAGTAGGAAAATGCTAAGAATTCCATATTTGTAGTTGGTTTATCTTTAAATAAGGTTATGTCAGTAACTGCTTTTCCTTCAGACATCTGAAAATGTGATGTAAAACTCTACTGGAACTCTAGTAGCTTTTGTGTATTAAAGTCTAGTTCTCTATTTCACTTTGTCACTTAAAAAAGGTGTAAACTTGTAAAATGTTTCTGGTTGATATCTGCTCTGAAATAGCATAAATACCCTGCTGAGCTGGTATCTCCCAGTCCATGTTGTTTTTTTTAAGATAGAGAGTGCACTGTTTTAAAAGCTGCTATACTGGTGGCCTTGTGAGCATTTTAAAGAGGGCTTGATTTTTATGCTTCTGCATCTCTGAATATCTTGTAACTTATTTTTTTAGCCAGTTGCTCTAAAACTTAAGGGATTTAGCCCTTCTCCTTCATGCCACACAGGTATGCTTTGCTAAGTAATGTATCACCAATTTTTATTTGTTTATTTGCAGGCTGTGGGTTACAGTTTAATGCCCAACAACAAAGATGAAGACGGCCTCGTGGTCTTGGTCTTTAACAGAAAAGAAGCAGATATTCGAAGCCAGCAGCAGCAGCTCGTGGAATCACTGCACAAAATTCTGGGAGGAAACCAGACCCTCACTGTCAATGTAGAAGGGGTTAAAACAATGCCAGATGACCAGTATGTGAACTTTCTGTGGTTTTGCCTTTTTGTCTGGTATTGCACGTTATAAAGGGTTGGTGCTTAGTCTATTCTGTCTTCCTTTCTCTTTGATTTTACGTCTGTTCACCCTGAGTTTGATTTTGTGTCTCTTATTCCTTCATGTTGCTTTTCCTTAAGATGTTCAGTGCAGTATCTTTTCCTATGTATGTTACTTGCTTTTTTGCTGGAGTGCACAGATGAGGGCCTCAGGTCAGGAAACACGTTTCTCTGGACCTGCTCAGCAGCAAAAATTGGAGCTGAGGATGCTAACCATGAGAGTGAGATAAACAGTATTTGAGAAGCCAGGTGTTCTTCGTGAGGTGTTCTTCACTTGGTCTTGCATAAAGTGGAGGGGCACTGAGGTGTATGGTCTTCATAGTGTTTCACGTAACAGTTTCAGTGGGAAGCTGTTCCAAGGCTAGTTGAGCTGTCGGATTCTGCGTGTGCTGTGTTAGAGCACACTGACATCTCTGCTTCTGACTTCCCCACACATTGTTCCTTCTTTTTTAAAGACCAAAAGTTGTTCTTAGGTGTAGTACTAGTATCAATATGTAATATAGTTGTTAAAACTGTGGGGGAATCATGTAATTTTATAGGATATTTACAACTTTCCTCTTTCTGCCTTGCTGTGATAAACCCTAGACTTACTGTACTTCATATCTCAGCTGCTAAAGGAAGTTATCAGTCAGCTGAGAGGAGTGGTAACTTGGATTTAGGGTGGTTCTTTATTGTGTTAGTTTCTGTGCACTGCTGGCCTGTTTCTGACAGCACACGTTTTGTCTTGCTCAGGACAGAAGTGATCATTTACGTTGTCGAACGCTCACCCAACGGCACATCGAGGAGAGTCCCCGCAACCACCCTCTACGCCCACTTTGAACAAGCCAACATAAAGTCCTCCCTGCAGCAGCTGGGGGTCAGCCTCTCCATGGCCAGAACAGAGCTTTCCCCAGCACAAGTCAAACAGCTGCTGCAGAACCCTCCTGCTGGTATGTGGTCTAGGGCTGCACAGGGGCACACTGGGCCTCTCTGCTGCAGCTTTTTTGGGTCTCTGGGAAAAACTCAGGTGCCGGCACCACTGGAAAACATCTTATAAAAGTACAAGAGTTTCCAGGGCATTCTGGCATGCTGTACAGTTTTAACTGTAGCACCAAGACAGGTAGCATTTGTCTCACACTACCATATGCTCAAACTTGTCCAATGGAGAAAAAAAAAGGCTAAAGATCAGAATAATCACATTCTGTGTTCACTTCCTAGTTTTTGAGGGAGGAGATGTCACTTAACCTGTATCAGTGGCCACAGGGAGCATATACACAGCTTTGTTTTAGAGTACTTAAGTGCTGTTTATGCCATTTCGTAGGATAATTGTATCTTATTCTCTGTGTCTACACAGAATCGAATGTAGTCCTTGCAGTGAGGCCTTGCACTGGGGTCAGGGAAAGCAGCCTGTGCCTTCCAGCAGACAACATGTAGTGTGATCAGCAGGGTCACAATGTTTAAAAACACAGCAAAGGTTTGCAAAAAAGCCTGGCCTACTCTTGCAGAAAAATCAGAGACAAGCAGCAGTGTCTTCCAACGGCTGCAGTGTCAGGAAGTAGTTGCTCTGTGCAAGTTGGCTTCCTTTAGTACTGGAGGTGTATCATAAGGCCTGTGTAACAGTGTTTGAGGTTAGCTTTTCGGTCCTTGACTGAGAAGGAAGCTGGTATTTGTAGGCTGGCTACTCAACCAGTAAGATGTGCAAGAAGAGGTGTCAGTGTTTAGCTCGAGAGAAGCAGCCACAGCTTGAGAGATAAATTTTTATACAAAGACAGTATGTTCTATGAGGGGTGTTGTGCAGTGAAGAATGTTACAGATTTTATACACTGATTTGATTTGCAGGGAGGTTTGGAGAATGTAATAACTGTCATCATGAAGTTGATGTACATGCACAATTAGGCTGCTTTTATTTTATGTATTTATTTGATGAAGGAGTTAGTGGCAAAACAAGCAACTGTTCTTTCTGTCAACAGATAAAATCATTAGACAAATCCCAGTAGGAATCATTGTGATTCCTACTGGGATTATTTTGCCAACTTATTTGTTGCTTTGATTACTTAATCACTGGTATTTTTCATTATGAAAAAAAAACCACAATAAACAACTTGAAGAGGAAAGATGACCCAAACGTAGAATACAATGGAAATTATAGGAGTTTTCCCTTTGAAGTATGGATTGTCTGGTCACCTGTGGGTTGTTCCTCCCTCATGCTTTCATACCAGTAGAAGTACTTGACAGCCTTTTGGACTGAACTTACTGCCACAGTAAAGGACGAAGATTTTTAAGAACTACCCTTGTTTAATTAACCTTAATTTATAGTAACTGTCATTCAGATTGACATAGTTCGTAGGGTTCGTGTATATCCTAGTATTTTTCCCACCTAGCAGCTGTAAGATGTGATATTTATTCAGATATATCCATATTTAAAAATTTGTTTTTTTGTTTTAAGGTGTTGATCCTATTATATGGGAACAAGCCAAAGTTGATAATCCTGATCCTGACAAGTAAGTCTAATAGTATGTCCAAGTATTAAAAGAAGACTTGGAAAGGGGAGAAATGTATAACATTGTGTAGTACCCTTCAGGCAGCTCGTAAATTAGAGAATAACTTTGTCAAGTGCTGATCTCATTTGAAGCAGTGAGGATTACTAGAAATGTTTGTCTAATCCCTTTATCCATTAGGTTGCTTAAAGGTTGTCAGGATAAAGAGCCTCACTTGCATTACTTCAAGTTATGGTGCCCTACATTATATGGACTAGTTATTGTGACCTTATTTTTTTTTTTGCAACCATTATGATTTTCTTTAATCCTCCAGCTGAAAGTGATGTATCCTTGTACCTTTCAGTCATTACAGGTAACTTATGCTGATTTAATTATGAAAAGGAACAGGCGGTTAGGAATAGTAAGAACTGTAGAACTTACCAAAACAAGGTATATTTTGTGTATTATTTTAATTTATGATAGGCCATCTGTAATGTAAGGTTATCTGTAACTTTAAACTCAGAATTATTAATCCATACCACATGTCTAATATAAAAGATGTTGTAAGACATATTTGTATTCTTGTAGGCTTATTCCTGTACCAATGGTGGGTTTCAAGGAACTGTTGAGAAGATTGAAGGTCCAAGATCAGATGACCAAACAGCATCAAACTCGATTAGATGTAAGGTGTTTAATCTCTTATCATGACTGCTTACAGTTGAAAAAGGATATGCTATTAAATCAGCCTCCCCCTGTGCCTCCTGTGTGTTGAAAACCAAAACTGGAACCACATATGTGACGTTGTGACTCCCTATCATTATTTGTTAATACATCCAGTAATTACATCTTGTGTCCAGAAAAGGAGCCTTTGTTTTGGCTTGCATTGTTTTATTTTTCTTCAGGTTCAATCCCATGGTGTGGTTATAGGCTGATTCAAACCAGCTGAATTAAGTTGTCGTATCACAGACTTCATTTGTGTACCTAGTATTTTAATGCCTTTGGAAAATCCCAGTTGCATATGAAAATAAATAGAAACCAGAACAGCAGCAGTCTAGCAAAAAGCTTTCTGAAAGCATCTTGAAGAGGATGCTTGGATTGAATACTGTTTTGAATCTCCTGGTTTCAAATGTGGAGTAGTGTGTTCTATTATCAGAAATTGCTTATGACTTCCAACTGACTTCGTCTTCTCTGCAGATAATATCAGAAGATATCAGTGAGCTGCAGAAAAACCAAACAACAACTATGGCAAAGATTGCACAGTATAAAAGGAAACTGATGGCACTTTCTCACAGAACATTACAGGTAACACAGTCTAAATAACTCACTCTTACACACAGCCTGGTGCCAGAAGGCAAACTGAGAGGGGACAGGATGTCCTGTCCATGGCCTGTGTTGAAAATTAAATTCTGACTGCATTGAAATGGTACTGCTTTAAGTAACAGGCAGAGCTGTCAGATGTGCAGTGTCTCTTACTGCTTTGTTCATCAGAACAAATCTGATGAGAGATGTGCTGGAGGAAAGGCAAAGAGACATATGGATAGGAAAGAGGTGTGCAAAGTCTTTTCTAGTGAACCTCAAAGGCTTCTTTTGTAGGTGTTAATAAAGCAGGAGATCCAGAGGAAAAGTGGCTATGCAATTCAAGCAGAGGAAGAGCAGCTTCGTGTACAGTTAGACACCATTCAGTGCGAACTTAACGCACCTACGCAGTTCAAGGTGAGTAGTTAATAGAATTTTGCCAACACCTCTGTTTTTGTCTCACAAAAGAATGTAAGCTTTCCAAACCATGCAGATGTATTTATTGTGGAAATCTTTCAGAAGAGAAGTCCAGCAGGTTGCTAGCTTGTAGTGTCAGTCTCTTTGCTGCATCACTGTTCAGCGATTAAGTATTTTTGAGTACTTAGAAGTGTTGGAGTTGCTTGCCCTTTGAATGTCTTGACTTGAAGTGGTACCTGCTGGAGCTCTGACGGAAGTAGAAAACTTATGTCTGATGTAAGCCTGTTTCTCTTCCCAGGGCAGACTGAATGAGCTCATGTCCCAAATCAGGATGCAAAACCACTTTGGAGCAGTGCGTGCTGAAGAGCGCTATTACATAGATGCAGACCTCTTAAGGGAAATCAAGCAAGTAAGTATTGCTGGTAGCATCCTGAGATACTCCCTGAACTTTGTAGTTTAAGCCAGCTACAGACTAACTTGGAAAATATATAGAAAATGTCGTGGTTTTGTAACTGTTTGGTAATTAAGTCCTTACTGTTTTTCTCAGTGACAGTGTCAAGGTATTGGACAAAACCACTCTATGCGGTTAGGCTGTTTTTCTGTCTTTCTAAGAAATTACGCCAGGTTTTTCAATGTGCCAAGGCCACCAGACATGCCAGCTTTGGGAAATAATACTTAAAATCTGTGAAGTTGAACTATGCTCATGCTGGTTTTTAAACTATCTGCAGCATCTGAAGCAGCAGCAGGAGGGCCTGAGTCACCTAATTAGCATCATAAAGGATGACTTGGAGGACATCAAACTTATAGAGCATGGGCTGAACGAGAGTCTTCCCATCAGAGGAGGAGTCTTCAGTTGACTGGTGCTGGGCTTACACAGAATGTTGCTCAAGTTCATGGTTCACCTTCCAAGGCTAAAACTGTTGAGGTAAAATAAAACATGTACCTTCTAGGAGCAGTGGTATTTTGGTTGTTATCTTTAGAATTAGCAAAGCCTCTTCTAAGCTTTTGAACTTGACCTTTGGAAGGTTTCTATTTTGTAAAGCTGTATATGCTTTAACAACAGAAGGAAAACTGAATCTGTTCAGGTATTGGTTTATGATAAAACTATATGTACTATTGTACATTTTTTTTTCTTTTTTCCTTTTTTTTTTTTTTTTTACAACAGCATTGTCCTAGAAGTGCAGTGCCAAGGGAACTCTGTTCCACTTGGTTTGTGGAAAGCTTAGGCCCTGTCTGCATTTTTTTCAAAAGAGCCAAGTAACATCATTATGTAAACAGCTGATTTAAATCATGACAGATATGTATGTTGCTGTAACTGTGTCAGTCTCTGCAGTACCACTAGTTTACTGGGGCAAGCTGCAGGAAGTTTGTGTTTCCAGTTTCTTTCCTTCCTTTGAACTGCAAGGAGCTGAAGGTTATTGTTTTGTTGCTTTACATATGTGAGTTAAAGCTTTGCTACCCCTCAAATAACAACTGAATGTCCACACGTTGTCTTTTGCCTTTTTTTTAATTGCCGGGGAATAATAAATTCAGTCTGACTTTGTAATAACTCGTGCATGGTGTTGGCTCTTTCTTAGCTTCATCATCAAAGCAAGGGAACTGCCAACAACTCCAGGTTAACACACTTCACGCTCCTCCAGGCACTGCAGGTAACAGGCTATCAAACCCGAAACTACAGAGCTGCTTAGCTGCCTCAGTCCCCAAACTAAAATTAAAGGTCACTTCCCTTAAATCTAACTGGTACCAAGTACTGCAGAGCAGGTGGCTATTACGTGCAGTAGAGAGAGAGCTGCCATTTTTCCTCATGACAAAAATCACTGAAACAGAGATACAGGATTCTCTGCAGTAAGAGTTTGTACAGCAGAAACAACTCAAACACCATCCAGGCAGAATAACTTTGTTTATTAGCCCCCCTCTTCCCCCCTAAAAAAAATTCCATTCATAACATGTGAAAGAGAAAGATCCTAGAGCCTGTATGGCAGCCCTTCTCAGGTTCTCCCTACTGGGACTGCCTGACAAGGCGAAAGGCTTCGAGGAACTCATTGAAGTCGATGTTTCCATCCCTGTTGAAATCAATGCTGCGAACTAGGTCGTTGATGCCATCGTCCGTGAGTTCAATGTTCATGTGGGAGCTGAACAGCTTCCAGGTTTGGTGGAACTCCTCAAATGAGATGAGACCTGTGGAGAAGGAAGGCACAGCCACCTCAGCACAAGGTCACCATGGGCACTGCTGCCAGTCAGTCCCTGCTCAGCATACAAGGAGGGACCCCTGCTCAGGTTTGATCTCTTGTCCACCTCATGTGCTGCAACTGAATTTCCTAGTGTTAAGAACGTGGGCTAAAATACAACTTAAAGCAGTGAAGAGAGTGTAATTTGGAAGAGCAAAAGAAGGCAGAAGCTGTTGTATTTTCACTTTCCCAAAGTGATTTGGTGGAAATGACTCCTTGAAAGCAAGATCCCAAGATCCCAAGCATGCTGCATTACTGTCATTGCTTTTGTCACCATTTTTGTTCTGCTGATAGATCATTAGTTCTCTACCTGAATGGAATACAATGCAGTGACCAACACCCCCTCCACACCTGCTTACCTGAATGATCTTTGTCTATGATCCTGAATATGGTCTCCAAGTTGGATCTGTTTCGATAAATGACTTCCAGCAAGCTTGACTGGATGTGCTGAAAGACAACGTGGTCACATTCCTTCTACCCTTCTGACAGCTCCCAGCTTTCTCTGAGCAGTTACTGCAGACCTTCCCATAAATAAAAATATATACTGCTCTCAAGAGTTTGCCATCAGTGCACTTCAGTGTTTGTGGCTCATGCAACAGGTTTGTGGTGACTGGACCCTCCCTGCACCTCTGCATTACAGCATGTCAGCAGCCTGTCACTTCCATACAGACCTCTCCCAGGCTAGCAGAGGAGACACTGACTTGGGATACGTTTTTGAACCACTGCAGAGTTGGTTTTGCTGGGTGTAATTAAGAAGCATCAACTCAGAATAGAGTATAGTTCTCCTACATAAAAACCTGCATCCAAAACTTAAGTTTTATTGCACGTGCATCAGTTATTCCTACAATGGACTGAACACCTCGGGACAACTTGAATTCACGCAAGCTTTTCCCTGGACTTGATTTTGGATTATACAGGAACTGGAACCATCCTCTCTCCTTTCATGCCATCCTTGGTTCCCCACCTGGGGGTCTTGTGAGCTGCCCTGCATTGTGTTTTGATGTTTTACCTCTTGGCTCCGCTGTTCCAGGGCCAAGTCATCAAGCCAGCCCTTGTACTCCAGTGCACCGTCCGCCGTGCTGCGCACCAGCTGCGGCCTCAGCATGCGCCAGGGCAGCCCCAGCTGCAAGACTGACTCCACTGCTGTCGCCCAGTTGCTCAGCGTGATCCTTCCTGGAAGAAAAAGGGAAAGCCTCTGGGAGCCAGGCAGCTGAAAGCACATGAAGGCAAAGGAAAAAGCCTGGAGCTGTACACGTTCCCAGTCTACTGTGCTGCCGACAGCTGCCGTGGTCCATATCCTGTGGTGACCCAGGAATGAGTACTGCACACCAATGTGATGTAGGTCCAGTCCAAGTTTATTCAGTTGCGTACAGATTATATAGTCTCAGGACAGTGTGCACGCTGTCCATGCGGCAAAGCAAAGCTCTTAACTGGTTAATATACATTGTTCACGCACCTCAATTCCCCTTTTGATTGGTCACTACTTTAAACCCTTTATCTAACTCCCCGTCCTGTTTACCTTACTACCTGATTTCTTCATAGCAAAGCCTCACTAGTTCCCATGAGAACAACCTTGCCTGTTCCCTCTGGCTGCCTAAAGTTTCTCGTAATCTTTCAGCACAGCCAGGGCCCCAACATCTCCCCCTCTTTTTTCAAACACAGCATTCACTATATTCTGCATACTATTCTGTAAGTATCGCAATAAGCAAGGTAAGCAAACAAGTATAATAAGTATGAACACACCTATTGCTAAAATCTGATGCAAAATGCTAGCTACCCATGGTCCTAAGCCAAGCGACCTTAACCAAGCATCAAGTCCCCAACTATCTTCCCTCAGGTTATGCAGTCCATTCTTCAACTCTTCTATCTTTCTATGGATAGACTCTGAATGATCCGAGAGGTTCATACAGCACGTTCCCTCAAACATGACATCCATGACATCCATGACCATGGTCCAATAACAGGAAGTCGATCGCGGCCCTGTTCTGCAGCACCGCATGGTTTACACTAGCGACGCCCTGAGATAGCTGATCCAATATATTAGAGGTGGTGTTAAGCTCAGCTTTAGTCCAGCAGGCTACCTGCTTTAAAGTAGCCATGACCCGGGCTGCGGTTGCCCCAGGGACCACTAAAGAGGTAAATATTGTCCACAACCATGACCAAAAAATCGGTTTTCCTACTTCCCTACAATCTAGCTCATGTAACTCTCTTTTCCCTCTTCCTTGTGAAGTCCATTGCATTAACACAGATATATTAGGATGAAATACCATTAGCTTACCCAGGTAACACGGTCCCCCGTGCGGGCTGGCTGGGAGGCCGTTCCAGGCCCGATCCCCACAAATCAAAAACAAACCTCGAGGCAACTTTTCAAGCAGGCTGCCCAGTCAAATTACACTGCGTATATGTTTGCCGATAGACCTCTTTGATATCAAGGGCAGAATTTACTGTAGCCCAGCTTTTCTGGCTCACATTCAGCTGCACCATTGTAGGGGGTGCAAAGCTTACCCAGCCCCCAATCCTGCTACTATTAGTAGCGTTAAGACTACCCAAGAGGTCCAATTCTTCTGGGGGTGAAGTCAAGGTCTTATTCAAACTCTTAATGATGTCACATTGCCATTCTCCATCCTGAGTGGCCTTGGTCAAATGTCTTTCATCCAGAATCAAACTGTTTCTAACCCATCCTCTAAACTCCTGGGGCAGCCATGTAGGCACCCCTATCAAACATGTGCAAAAAGGCTCAGATAAACTGCCCAAACTTAAACAAAAGGCTGGCTGATTGGTGCGATTAGCTATTGTCACCCATATGTTTTCTC